AACAAAGTACCAAAGCTTTGTTGATAAGATTTCGGATTCCATAATGCAACTAAACTTTTAAGAAATTATCACTTACTAAGTTTTGGTGTATCAAAGATGATTATCTTCAATTGTGTGAAAAGCTATTAAAATACTCCTCCCTACATCATCTCTATAATGCTGAATTTTCTTCATATACTTCAATCAAAACAATCTATCACCACAGATTGGATCCACAAGCAGATATGAAAATCTAGCTGTTTTCTCTTAATCCCAGCATTAGAGACTCACAAATGTAAATTAAAACCACTCTTCTTACAATTATTTTTCATAGAAATGTTAATATGTAATACACTTTTTTTTATTTAATACAATATTATTTTTAAATTTCAAATATGGTAAATGTTAAAAGGTACAACTACAACAACAGTTCTTTGAGATGCTCAATAATATTTAAGAGTGTAAAGGAGACTTCTGAGACTAAAATGTCTAACAATCATTGATAAATATTTCTTATGCAGATGTGAGAACAGATGTGTAGTAAAATTTACTGAAAACAGAATTGTTAGGAAAAGGCTTTTTTTTTAAGGAAAAGGTATATTTTAAACTGACCTCCAAAACCTGTGCAAATTTATACTCTTCCTGTTGTACATCTATATTCCCATACTAAGTAAAATCAAACTTTTTAATTTTTGCCTGGAGATTGACTTTCAATGATATCATTGCCTATAATTACTCTGTCTCTTACATTTTAACTCATTCTTTCTTTTTGTTCAACTTATTTTTTAAGCATTTATATGTTGGGCATGGTCCTACATGCTGAAGATACACCCATAAGTAAGAATAAAGCAGTCTCTAATCACGAAGTCGTGTTAAGGACTAAGAGAGAAAGGGGGAGGAAAAGACAGTTAAGTATGAGGGAGGTCTCTTATTTTTAGAATATAAAAGAACACCTTTTGGTGTGCATTTAGAAGCATGATTCTTAAAATTCCTCAGATTAGGGGCACCGTTGGTTAAGCATCTGCCTTCGGCTCAGGTCCTGATTTCAGGGTCCTGGGATCAAGCCCTGCATCAGGGTCCCCACTCAACGGGGAGTCTGCTTCTCTCTCTCCCTCTGCTTCTCCCCCGACCCCCGCCCTCATGCGTGCGCTAATAAATAAAATCTTTAAAAAAAAAAAAACTCCTCAGACTGGTGAATTTTAATTATTTGCATCTTCATAATTAAAATAGAGTGTCACTGGGGTTAACATCCGAAAGAAAGAACTCCTACAACTCAACACCAAAAAAACAAACAATCCAATTAAAAAGTGGGTAGAGGATCTGAATAAGCATATTTCCAAGGAAGACATACAGATGGCCAACAGACACATGAAAAGATGCTCAACATCACTAATTATTAGGAATTGCAAATCAAAACCACAATGAGATATCACCCCACATCTGTCAGAATGAGTAGGCTCAAAGAGATAAGAAATAACAAGTGGGGCGCCTGGGTGGCTCAGTTGGTTAAGCGACTGCCTTCGGCTCAGGTCATGATCCTGGAGTCCCGGGATCGAGTCCCGCATCAGGCTCCCTGCTTGGCAGGGAGCCTGCTTCTTCTGCCTCTGACCCTCCCCCCTCTCATGTGCTCTCTCTCTCTCATTCTCTCTGTCTCAAATAAATAAATTTTAAAAATCTAAAAAAAAAAAAAGAAATAACAAGTGTTGGCAAGGATTTAGAGGAAAAGGAATCCTCTTGCAACTTTTGGTGCAAATGTAAATTGGTGCAATTACTGGAAAACAGAATGGGCGGGTTCTCCAAAACATCAAAAACAGAACTAACAGGGACGCCTGGGTGGCTCAGTCGGTTAAGCGGCTGCCTTCAGCCTAGGGCCATGATCCCAGGGTCCTGGGATTGAGTCCCACATCAGGCCCCTTGCTCAGCAGGGAGCCTGCTTCTCCCTCTCTCTCCCTCTGCTTGTGCTCCGTCAAATAAATAAAATCTTTAAAAAAAAAAAAAAAAAAAAACAGAACTACCATAAGATCCAGCAATTCCACTTCTAGGTATTTATCTGAAGAAAATGAAACCACTAATTTAAAAAGATATATGCATCCCTATGTTTATTTCCATATTATTTACAATAGCCAAGATATGGAAGCCACCTAAGTGCCTATCAATAGATGAATTGATAAAGAAGATGTGGTATATACACACACACATGCACAACAGTCTATTATTCAGCCATAAAAAAGAATGAAAACTTGTTATTTGTGACAACACGGATGGACTAAAGGGTATTATGATAAGTGAAATAAGTCAGAGAAAGACAAATACAGTACGATTTCACTTATCTGTGGAACCTAAAAAACACGAAACAAATGAACAGACAAAACAGAAAGAGATTCATAGATACAGAGAACAAAATGGTGCTTGCCAGAGGGGAAGGAGGCCAGAGTGAAGGGGATAAGGAGATACAAACTTCCAGTTATAAAATAAGTAAGTCACAGGGATGTAAAGTATAACATAGGGAATACAGTCAATAATAATGTAATAACTTTGTATGGTGACAGATGGTAACTAGCCTCACTGTATTGATTTCATAATCTATGTAAATGTTTAATCACTGTGTTGTACGCCTGAAACTCCTATCATATTATATGTCAACTACAGTCAATTTAAAAAAAATCTCAAAAAAAAAAAAGGAGAGTGCCACAAAACTTAAAAACTTGACAGTAAGGATGTCACATCCTAAAGCACTTCCCTTTCAGAACTTTTAGATCATGATGCTCACTTCAGCTAAGTTTCTCAGAAGACAGAGGCTGAATCATCATATCCATAATGCCTATTTTTAAAATGTTTCTTGAATTAAGTGTACCTATAAAATTTCCAGATAATTACGGCTGGACTGGTATTAATCGAAGAAGACTCTATTAACAGCAGCAAAATCATGATCAGAAAAGGTAGTAGTTCAATGGCAAAAAGCAACTACAACTTTAATCAGAAAAAGTGTCACGGAAAAAGGTAAGGAACCATAGATACTGGCTAATAACAATGAACAGAAGGCATCAGAAACGTGAATACCATGGAATGTCTGAGCTCAAAGGCCAAAAGTGACCAAAGATTTACAAGAGTTTATGGATCCCCTAATGCTTCATAGGGGAACAAAATTAATTGATGGTACCATCAAAACTAATGGTTCTATTGCTACTGACCTGTTGTCCGCATTGCTTTTCACCTAAGGAAATACAAATACTTTCCTTTGTAATTATGAACCCAAGATACCTCTTGACATTACTTATATTTCAAGACATCACTATATATCATAAATTGTTAATATTAAGTATTTGTTAAAATTAAAGAATTGTGGGGTGCCTGGGTGGCTCAGTCGTTAAGCACCTGCCTTCGGCTCAGGTCATGGTCCCAGAGTCCTGAGATCGAGCCCCGCACCGGGCTCCCTGCTTGGCGGGAAGCCTGCTTCTCCCTCTCCCACTCCCCCTGCTTGTGTTCCCTCTCTTGCTGTGTCTCTCTGTCAAATAAATAAATAAAATCTTTAAAAAAAAAAAAAAATTAAAGAATTGTAGCAACAAGCTTTTGATGGCCACACTTCATTCTGTCATAAATGCCACTGATGTTACTATACTATTATGTATCTGTTTCTTGTCCCCAGATCTCAAGGATTTGTAAAACATGCAAAATATCCTAAGAAAGGTGTAAAGCTCAGTGAGTTCTGTGGTCCTGCAATCAGCCTGAAGAAATCACTATTCCACATAAACTACAAGCAGGTGGAGATTGGATAATTTCAAATCATCCAAAAGTCTTCCTCAACCAAAGAGAGCATCAGTAGGGTTCGGTCCAGAGACCAAATCCACATAGTAATTTGAAGAAGGAAAGCTTAATATAAATAAAGACTATTAAACAACAGTTAACTTATTAATTCTAAAGACTACCCCAGGGTAAAGGAAAGTACCAAAGGAAGGAACAACCTGGAAGGGGGAACCCCTTGCCCAAAGTTGGGATTGGGATCTTCCTGGAGAAGATGTGTTTGTAGCCACTGAATGGGGGAGAAGTTAGCTGGGTTCCCTAGGCCAGAGCCGGTCCACAGTTGCCAGGAAATCGAGAAAGACCCCTCCAGAGTTCATATGGGACCAGACTAGTGGGCGAGCAACAAGAAAGAATCACAGTGCTGGGAGCCCACTCCCAAGCAAGGTAACACAGGGCCTAGGGTACACAATGTCTGTGTTAAGAAAGCCACAGGAAACAACTTTCTGGGGTAAAGGCAGACCAAGGCTGGCAGATAGGCATGCAGTGTGGCTTGGGCACACAGAATGCGAGAAGTTAGCGGGGTTACCCCAGTCAGAGCTGTTCTATGGTAGGAAAGCCAAAGCTGATGGACAGGAACCTGCAGGCTGGGACTGGTAAGCAGGGAGCTGCAGACAGGAACTGGCACCACAACCTGCTAGAGGGTGACGTACCCCACACACACACACACCATGGGCAGCACAGAGCAACAAGAGCAGGGTACTAGGAAGCTCTGTGCCTCAGTTTGCTGTTAAAATTTTGCGAAGCCATGAATCTAATAGTCGTTAATCAATAACATATCCCGAGCCACCACCCCAAAATATCTGTATCTGGCCTGGCCGGGTGCCTCAAATCATAACCATTCACATTTTAAGGAAGGTATGAGAAAAAATGTATGAAGTATAAACTTTTAAAAATCCCCAAATTTCAGAACTATAAGAATAATTCAATATCATCTCTTCTTATGTTCCTACATGTTTGGTTTTGTTGTTTTTGTTTTATTTGCTTGACTGGCTGGAATTGAAGTTGGTGTGCGGTTGTTTCACAAAAGGGAAGAGTAGTAAATGCATCAGAGTTAAGAGCCTACACCAGGAACATGAAAAAACAACAAGTGCTTGCTGCCTAATACGAGTCATCTTACTAAGGGCTTCTGACTTCATCGTACAGTATTCCAGGGTTCAGCATACACACACAATTAGCCAATCATCACTTTTTAAAATCACAATTTCAAAATAATCACTTACCAAACACTATTCCTTTAGCAAATGGAGGAAACAATTCTGAATGTCGGAATAAGTTTTTGTGAATTTGCCATAGTTCTTTGTGTAGTTTCTTAAAGTCACTGTATCTCTTCCATACGATTATCTAAAGAAAAAGAAAAATCAAATGTATCTCTCACAGTGACACTATGTAGGTTCATATATCTAAACAACAAAAAATCTTTTCATGGAAGTGCCCAAAATTGTCATGCAGAGGCAAACAAATATATGTTCTAACAAATATGGTTAACTGTCTGAGATTAAATAATATTTGATTTAAAAATATATAGCAGCTTTAACTTTTCTGTTTTGGTTTTTAAATTTCATTTTACACAAGTACTGTTTTCTTAGGAAAATATTCAACCTGGTACAAAGAAGGTCTATACCACCTAAAGTGTCACTTAACCTCTTCAAAACTCAATTACTATGAGCCTGGAAATGAGCTAGATATCAAAATATATTCTGTCTCAAAAAGAGCGTGTTTATAAACACAAAATAGTTAGACAACTTTTTTGAGAGAAAAAGAGAGTGCACGGCACGCACAAGCCCAGGGTTGGGGGACACACAGAGGGAGAGGAGGAGAGAGACAGAGAATCCCAAGCAGGCTCCATGCTCAGCACAGAGCCCAAAGCAGGGCTCAATCTTACAACCGTGAGATCATGACCTGAGCTGAAATCAAGAGTCAGAGGCTTAACCAACTAAGCCACCTAATTTAGACAATTTTTTTAAAAGATTTATTTATTTATTGAGAGAGAGAGCACACGTGTTGGGGGGGAGGAGAGAGAATCTCAAGCAGACCACTCTGAACACAGAGCCTTACACAGGGCCTGATCTCACGACCCTGAGATCATGACCTGAGCTGAAATCAAGAGTCAGATGCTTAACCAAGTGAGCCATCCAAGTGCCCCCTAAACAATTTTTAAACATAAAGTAACTACACAGCATTTGCCTAAAGGATAAACTAATTAACACTGAAGAAATGGTTGTGTAGCAAGTAACCTTAACTTTTACATTTCATAAATCTTATTTCACAAATCTCAGTTTAAAGTAGTAATAAGGATTTAAGGCAAGATGAATCCTGAACAGAATACCATTAGAACTAGTATAGTTCCAAACAGAAAATAACAGTCATCTAGATTATATAACACATAGAGGTTTACCTCCATTAATTTGAATTACTGTTTAACTTTATTCAGATTAAATTAGAAAAAAAAAAACCTTTATAAAGAAAACAGATTTGACATGACTTTGATATCATTGATTCAGCCCCTCAGTCTCCAAAAAATAGGATAAAACTGAGTTTTAAATTCCATTACCTGGTATACTAGGGTCTTTGCTTCTAAAAAAAAAAAAAAAAAAACCTAATTACCTCACTTCTAACAAACTCAATAGAATGTAATGCTAATAATAAGCAAATCTTAGGCCAAGAAGGTAATCAAGTGAGATTTAAGAGACTCTTGTCAAAAACTTTACTCTCTGGATGTAAGAAATTCTTAACTTTATCATACTATCAAAAAATTCTACCATAATGAGTTTCTTGTTTTTACTATAGTTATAATCCTGGGAGACTAGTCAAATTATCATATGAGTTAATTTAAACTGCTTCCTTCTGATGTTTCCTTTTATTCATTTACTCAACAACAAAAATAGTCACCAAAACAAGTATTTTCATGTCCCTACTCTGTGCTAGGCTCTGTGTTAGCACAAAGGATGAAGAAATGAGAAACACAGACCCTGCTTTCAAAGACTTCCAGTCTCGGTGGGCAGCAGGAAGCCAACACAATAACTAAGTCAAAAGACGGTGTGATAAATGCGGACAAGGGAAGCCCAAGGGTATTAAGAAAGGAGCACCTACGGAAGGTATTATCTTAGGAATACTGAAGGCAAGTAGTGATTAGACCAACAAAAATAAAGAGAGAGAGAAGAGACTGGGGATGACGTTTTTAAAATGAGAGTGAGATGCCAAATATAATCACCAGAATCTGGGCTTTTGCAACTGGATAAATAGTGGTGCCATTCTCTAAGGTGAAGAAAAGGGGAGAGGAAACTTTTAAGATAAGAACAAAGTTCAATTTTAGACATATTTGGCACAGGTATGGAGTTCAAGAGAGAGAACTAAGCAAGATGTATTCATTTGGGAATTATCAGCAGAGAGGTGTGCAATCACTCAGGAAAGCTTTCTCAGCATTTTTAACAAGATGAGGAATCTGAGGACAAAACAATGGGGAACCCTAACTATGAGAGGTCAGCCAGAAGGAAGAGGAAACCAAGTGCAAAGTAGGTATTTAAGAACTTGGTTTTGCCATGAGACAGACCACCTGGATGGAAGAAAAAATTTTATTTTAAAATGGAAGTGAATGAGACAAAAGCTGATAGTAAAGAACCAACAGTCCCAGTAAAAGAGCAAGAGGAATGAATAACTAAGACAAACCAATACTTGAAAAGTAAATGGTCTCAGGACAGTGAGATTACAAGTGATTTTAATTTTCACATTTTTTGCTTCTCTGTAATTTCTAATTTCAATACATGAAAATAATTCTGTCATGGGGAAAAAAAGTGCTGTTTTTATATTTTTAAAATAGATCAAATTGTGGTGGTACACGCTGCCAAAGGCAGAAATGGGTGATGGGCTTGTGAAAATAACCTTACATAAGATAAATGCCATCCTTAAAGCCATTATAAACTAGAAACGAGAGCTATTCAAAAGACTGTATGTAGCTCATGGAATCAAATCTGCAGATAAAATTTCTGTTCTAATTAGGGTCATTTTTAAGGCAGGGTAACTTAAGGGGCAAAAGTTAGTAACTTAATCACAATAATGATAATAACAACATTGTCTATAAACTAGCATATAGTCTGTCAGAGTAAGAATTAGAGCCTCCAAGGTGAGACTCTTTTTTTCATCATGCCTAATTTATTCTCTCACATCCTCCTTATTCTCAACACTAGAACTATAGAACCAAATATCTAAGAGCAAATATAAACCCTCAAGAAATGAAAGAAATCGGGGCACCTGGGTGGCTCAGTGCTTAAGCGTCTGCCTTCAGCTCAGGTCATGATCCCAGGATCCTGGGAGCCCCACATCGGGCTCCCTGCTCAGCGGGAAGCCTGCTTCTCCCTCTCCCATTCCCCCTGCTTGTGTTCCCTCTCTTGCTGTGTCTCTCTCTGTCAAATAAATAAATAAAATCTTAAAAAAAAAAAATGAAAGAAATTAAAGCATCACAAAATGTACCATCTACTGCCTCCTTTTCTTCGTACTCCTTTTAACCTTGGACATTTCTAGAAATCTTCAAAAGGGAAAAGTGAACAAAAGCACATTTCCACTACATTAGCAGTACTGATGTTTATAACTGGACTACACAAAGTCCAAAAGATGCATGCAAAAATTATTTTCTTTTTTTTTTTTTTTTTAAAGATTTTATTTATTTATTTGAGACAGAGAATGAGATAGAGCATGAGAGGGTCAGAGGGAGAAGCAGACTCCCTGCCGAGCAGGGAGCCCGATGCGGGACTCGATCCAGGGACTCCAGGATCATGACCTGAGCCGAAGGCAGTCGCTTAACCAACTGAGCCACCCAGGCGCCCGCAAAAATTATTTTCTCTAGTAATTCTTTCCTACTAGGAAAAAAAAAACTGTATAACAACTACTATTCTCTTGAACCAACCCCTGCAGAAATTTCTTATTCATTAAAGTTACTTTGCATAAAATTCCTCAGTTAAATATTAATTCAGTGACAGTCATATATATACACTACGAATTTAGTAAAAGCTTTTGAACTTTCATTAAAAACATTCCCTTAAATAATTTTTACATAAATGTTTTCTTTTCAGATAATTTCACTTAATGATAGCAAAAACCTTTAGATCCCATAAACAAAAAAACTCAATTCAATTCAATTTGTCCTCTCACATAGTATTTTAAAATTGCTGAATCATCTTTTCTTGCAACCAGCACCACTACCATACTTGCTTATGGATTTTCTTTCTCCCCTTTTCAAGAGCCTTTTCTTTCCCTGGACACATTTTAAATGTTTTCAAATGGTTTTTATCAAACTATTTTATTTATGAAATGACTTAACAGATTTCTGATGTGATACATAGAAAGTTCTATTTCAGTTCTTCTCCTTTTCCCAAATTTCACCAGCGAAATCTACTACCTATAGAGAAACAGAGTTATAGGTTACTTTTTGAAAAAGGTACGGGAGGGAGGGCACAACATCTCTAGTTCTTTCTTTACCCTTCTGCAGGTGTTCATGCTGTAGAGAATCTACTGAATGAGAGGCCACATTAACTGTTGCTGTCCCCCTCAGAGTTTCCCATGCTGCTCTTTTTTTTCTTTAAGATTTTATTTATTTATTTGACAGAGAGAAAGAGAGCACAAGCAGGGGGAGCAGCAGAGGAAGAGGGAGAAGCAGGCTCTCCGCTGAGCAGGGAGCCCAATGTGGAGTTCGATCCCAGGACCCTGAGATCATGACCTGAGCCAAAGTCAGATGCTTAACCGACTGAGCCACCGAGGCGCCCCATCCCATGCTTCTCTTAATAAAGAAAAATTTAGAGGGAATTTTTGAAGGATAAAACTTTGTAAAAGAAATCTATCCTGGATAATGTTAAATTATTTCCTCCATGTGAGTATTTCAGCATTAGGAAGAAAACACTGCTACCTGGTAGCATGTACCAAGGTGTGCAAATACATCTATAAAAGAAAACCAACAAAACATCTCCAGTTTTATAAGGATAGCATATTATTAGCCTATATTTGGTTAGATCAACAGAACATCTTCTAATCTTCAATAGCGCTTGGGAAGCCTGACTAAATTCTAAAGCAGTAACTAAATGAATCCTTTAAGAGGAGAGAGAAATTGAAAGGAAAGGAAATGGAAACAAACTCTAGGTAGCAAATTTCTCTCCTAGATGAGAATTCCAATGTTTGAATGAAATACATGAGAAGCTAGAGTGTTACAATTTCAAGGTTATTCTATATTTCAAGAAGCTGGCAAGACAGAAGACATTTTTAAAAATTTTTATACCATGTCTAACAAAGGACCATGCAATCATCTAACTAAAGGACACTTACAAGAGTTTTCTGATGAATGGTTCACCAACAGTTGTTATTATAAAAGAGTTTTCCCCAAAAAAGGATTAAGGAAATGGCAGAGAGTATTTTCATGGATAGGTTGGCTCAGGATTCTCCCTGGAAAATGGGAACATCAAGCTACAAACTACAGCATAGCAATCAGACAATGTATTCAAAGGAAACACAACCCATCTTTAATTTTAACAGAATTGTAAAATTTCAAAAGCAGAACAGACTGTACTGATTATTAATTCAACATAATTAGAAGAATTCTAAAGAAAGCCCATACTAGCCAATTGACACTTAAGTAAAGACAGTACTTAATACAATGGTGCAAATTACTTTTACTTCCATTTTGGAAGGATATAGATATAGAAATACATATATCCTTTTTTCCAAAATAACTATACTACAATATTCTCTTCCTGGTTATTGAGGGGGAAAAGTGAGCTATCTTAAAACACCTAAGAAAAATAGTATGAAATCTTTTAAAATTGTGTTTTATTGAACTCAAAACAAATATTGAATCAAATACAGCAAGAAATGCTAATGTATAAAAGTTCAAATATTGTCTAAACCTGATGTCACACACTCAAACCAACCAGCGCCAAACAATAAATGTATGAATCAAGCCAGGTTTGTTAATAAGGAGTAGTGGGGCTTGTTAGAAAATACATACTCCATCTAAAGACATTAAAATTCAAATGGGGGGGAAACTTTTGCAGAATCAAGACTGTCAATTTATAATGTCTTTTTTAAACACTTTAGTAAGAAAAAAAAAATCCCCAACATACGTCCTTCTAATATGGTGTAAATGAGCAGGTACCAAAATGAAAGTAAATCAAAAAATGTTAAAACAAGCAAGCTCCCCAGTTAGGATTCCTTAAGGTATATAACAAGCACAAAATAATTACAAATAAAGAATTCCATAGTTTTAAGCAAAAACACACAAACTGGTATCATTTTAGAGAGAAAGAGTCTGCAAAACAACTAACTACAAATTTAAAAAAGAAACAGACATCTACACCCAAAGCAGTTTTCCAAGGTGTCAACATGTCAACTCAATATAAAACTGAAAGTAGACAGAAACCCATAATTTATTATGATCTTTAAAATTAATTAGTTACCAAATACTCTTCATTTTTTATTAAAGTTATCATGATTTTGAAATAGATAAGAGCTCTTAACTAATACTAAAATCTTACGAATGTTAGTTTTCAGAAACATTATCACATTATTAAACAGCACTATAATTCCTTAAATTCTTCCTTGTATAACTTAACACCTACTAAAACTTAACCATACTTAATAGGTCTGAAATAGGAAACTTCAGCTACTGTTTTGTGAGCTAAAGATGATCTCCAGACAAACACATAAATATGAAGACAGACATACCAACAATTCCGTTTCCTCAACAAAGCATTTAATTAAATTTTTGTCAAATATATAAAATAAAATTTTCATATGTATAAACATGTTACCTCCTGGACATCCTCTGGATTTCTTCGTGAAACAACCTAAAACAAAACATACACAGAAATATCTCATCATTACCAAAATTTAAGATTTCACATCTGTATAATTAATTTCAAAAGTATTTGACTGAGAAATTCAATTTGCTTAAAGGAAAAGAAATACCATATTATATCACTTACAAAGAACTCAGCTATATAATAACTTCACCACCTGAAACACATGCTAAAAAAATTAAGAAAAAGGCAGCTAAAGGGATACCTGGGTGGCTCAGTCGGGCAGCTACCTTTGGCTCAGGTCATGATCCCAGGGTCCCCCCCCGCCCCCCACCGCATCGGGCTCCCAGCTCCGTGGGGAGCCTGCTTCTACTTCTCCCTCTACAATTCTTGTGCTCTCTGGCTCTCTCTCTCTCTCTGCCAAATAAATAAAATCTTTAAAAAAAAAAAAAAAGGGAAGGAAGGAAGGAAGGAAGGAAGAAAGAAAGAAAAAGAAAGAAAGAAAGAAAGAAAGAAAGAAAGGAAGGCAGCTAAAAAAAAGCCCACACACTAAAGTTCATACATTATACTCATAAGAGAATGCGGTGGCTTCACTCTTACTCGACATAATTCTAACAAGCTTTTCTACCCCACTTCCCAGCCTACATATAAAGTAGAAGCAAAAAAAGCAGCTTTGCCCATTCAAAGTATACAAGGGATGGCTCTGTATTATTTCTTACAACTATACATGAATCTACAGTTAGCTCAATAAAAATTCCAATTAAAAAAAAAGCAGCCACAGTGCTCAGGCACAACAATACCTGTGTGAAGTAATCACTGACCACCGAACCAGTGAAGAAAAGTAACTTACAAAAAATCACATACAGCATTCAGGGACAAATAATCCTATCAATATTCCTTGAGCAAAAAAAAAGAGGGGGATTATTTCAGACTTCTCTAATTATAAAAGCCAAAAAGTTTAACACCATTTAGAAAGATTTCCTCACAAAACTTACGAAAAGAAGAAGGCTGGGTGTTTAAATCATCAAACAGCATTGGAGAGTAGGGAAATCTCACATTAGATACATAATACCATCTATGTAAATGTAAATTTCATGAACTAGATACTTTAATATGCATTTTGCAAAGACAAAAAGATACATTAACAGATTAAAATAGTTGCCTATGGATGAGAAGAAGAAAGAAGTCTTTGCTGACTGGTGACAACCGTAAACTGAAGATTATGATCCACTCAACAGGCTTGACCTCCACTATAAAATGGGGAATAATACTCCCTGCCTGGCCTGGATCTGACAGACATCAAATCAGAGCACGGCAAGAACTTCATAATAAAAAAGTTAGTTCCTTCTCTCCCTTACTAGAGAATTTAACTAATTTAATAATTAATTCCAGACAGGAAAGGTTTCCAATTTCTTGCCACTCTATTCTCCAGCTTTCAGGATATATAAATTTGGTGAATTCTCTTGGCAATTTTCATTAATTTAGAATAGTGTTATCCACTAGAACTTTCTTTGATCATGGAAAGAAATGTTCCTTATCTGCACTGTTCAATGCAGTAGCGGCTGGCCACATATATGTACGTGGCTACTGAGCACCTGAAACATGGCTACTGCAATTAATAACTGAATTTTTAATTTTACCTCATTTAAATTAATTTAAATTTAAATACAAATAGCCACATATGACTGATTCTTACTGTATTAGACAGCACAGATTTAGAATAAGAGGCTAGAATAGTTAACTAATGACCATAAAATTATTCAAATACTGAATTTTAGCTATTAACTTTCACATACTAGCACCCCCCCAACATACACCCACCTTTCTAAAACTATGATAGTGTTTCACACAACTAATGATTTAATTTTGCCTACTATAAATTTTTCTTAAATTTTTGTAAAATATGCTAATGAGAAGAGAGTCAGGGATAATCAAGCCACAGATAATCTGCCCACCAAAAAGAGTCAACATCTGATCACTAGCAAGAAGGCTTAGTCAGGTGTACCTGACATTCTACAAGTTTTCTTTTATGGAAAAGTAATAGATTTACTAATTTACAACTCAATCACTTTGTAAAGATATGAAGATATCTTACTATTTTAAATAATCTTCCTTTACATACGCAAACGATCTTTTTCTGACAAAAGAAATTATTTCCTGATTCAGTGTGCAACTAGAATTATCACACTTTGGATTTTCTTCAGGTAAGCCATTCCTGGAAATCAAATATATGTATACTGAGTAAGCAGAAATACATCAGCCATCCCCTAACAATATCCACAACTTTTTTAAAGTTTATTTATTTTTAGTAACCTCTTCACCCAATACGGGGTTCAAACCCACAACCCCAAGATGAAGAGTCGCACACTCTTCCAACTAAGCCAGCCGGGTGCCCAACAGCCACAATTTTAAAACCATCTTATCAGAAATAGCCAATCTGATTATGATTTGTCATCTACAGGCTGAGGGGCTCACAGAGTTCTATGTGCTGCTGATACATGGTGAATAAGACAAAGCCCCTGCATTCACACCTTCACGGAGTTCACAGTCTAGTGATTTGCGTGCGGGGGGGGGGGGGGGGCGCGGTGAGGAGGAAATGCAGAATGGAGGAGGAGGGTTGTATTTCCCCAACTTATTTTAGTATCTCAGAGAACAACAGTGTGCTAAGCAACAGGTTGGGAAACACTTCATCCCAGACCTTTCCCTGACACTGGATGCTCACTGTCCAGACCACAGTGGCATCCCTGAAGCTGTCAAGAACAGCTGAGTGATTAAGACTTCTGATGTTTTCATGATAACAAATTATTCAGTTAGTACAGAAAATACAGTAAACCAAAGTTTAAGTTGTTGTTTTTTTTAAGATTTTATTTATTTATTTGACAATGAGAGACACAGCAAGAGAGGGAACACAAGCAGGGGGGGGTGGGAGAGGGAGAAGCAGGCTTCCTGCGGAGCGGGGAGCCCGACACCGGGCTCGATCCCAGGACCCTGGGATCATGACCTGAGCCGAAGGCAGACGCTTAACGACTGAGCCACCCAGGCACCCCAAAGTTTAAGTATTCTTAAAGTACCTAAGTGAAGGTCTTTAATTTAAGCTTACAAGAACGTCTCTTCACCCTCAAATACTTCTCATGTGAAGGGGCGAGGGATTTAATCAGGCAGAGATCAGAAAATTAAATCAAAAGCTACCTGCCAAGTATTAACTATCCCTTTCCCCAAGAGCATAAGCAAAGCTTAGTGAAAATCATGTCGGGAAAGTTCAGGACTATACTTTCCTGGTTCTCCTCTTTCCTCCTGGTTCTTTTGCTTCTCTTTTGCAGGTTCCTCTTCCTCCTTCTATCCCCCAACAATCTGTGAGCCTTCCAAGAATCAATCCTAGACTCTGTTTCTTAGCCTCCTTTTCAGTGTTAAGAAAGAAAGTCTATACCACTGCTAATACTGTTCAAGGTACTGTGCTAGGCATGGGGGTGGGGGGGGAATCTGATTTTGTACATTTATATTTGCAAAGCATTTTATTAATGATTCATTTTATTCCCTCAACAACCTATGAACTAGGCAGGAGTGGTTATTATGAGTCTCCCTTTTACCAATGAGGAAATAAGATCCAGAGATTTGAATAAGATCACGACTATTCACCTTTAGATTTAGAATTAGAACTTGGATTTCTGACTCCTGGTCCAGTGCTCTTTCCACTGTACTACACTGTATCCCTCAAATTATCTGTAATATTTTCAGCAATAATTGAGTTTACTTACTTCCACAAACCCTGTCACCATTAGGTTTTATTTATTCTTTCACTTATTCATTCAACAAATATTAAGGCCTACTCCACTTCTAGATACTGAACGATAACAGAAAATACACTGGGTCTGATCTCTACACCACTATATTATAAAAATATAACCGCTTGGCAAATACATTAGCAAGTTCAACCACTTGGCGCCCCACTATAAGAGATTCAGTATTCCCACATGCATAATCTTATTTAAATAGTTAAGAATACATCCCCTGAGATGGAAATCAAAAACACAAAAGGGTTGGTTAGGATAACATAGGTTGAGACCAAATGTCCAACTCTTTCTAACTATGTAATTCTCTTCAGCAGGAATTTAAAGTTGGTGAAAAATAAGAATATCGATCAGAAATCTGAAGAAAGAATACGATCATAATGAAAATGAACAAAATGAGCCCTCAGACCCAGATTTTTATAACTTTTTTTTTTTTTAAGATTTTATTTATTTATTTGACAGAGAGAGACACAGTGAGAGAGGGAACACAAGCGGGGGGAGTGGGAGAGGAAGAAGCAGGCTTCCCGCGGAGCAGAGAGCCCGATATGGGACTCGATCCCAGGACCCTGGGACCATGACCCGAGCCGAAGGCAGTTGCTTAACAACTGAGCCACCCAGGCGCCCCAGATTTTTATAACTTATAACACTATCTTAGCAATCATCTCAACAAGTAGTATCAACTCTAAAAAAAAACACTGTAAATTCTCTCTGATACAGGTTACTAGCTAGCATTTAGTAACTTCTTTTGGGGTGAATTTCAGTATTTTGTCATAAAATTCAGCCAATAAATGCCACAAAAGATGTAATTTAAAGCAGTGATTCCTTTTGTCTGAATTTCCTAAATTTCCACTGTAAGCCTTACCTATCACCTATACAGATAACTTGTAGAGCCTCTTGGTATAGAGAATTCTATCACCAAGTCATCTTCCAATTATTACCCTAAAGCAGTGCTTCACAAACCGTGCTGTATGGAATATCAATATTCTTTAAAATCAGTGCTCTCAAAGGAAGAGCTTAATGACCAATTCAGTTTACCTTTGTTTAAAAAAGAGACATTTTTTACAGCAGGCCTTTTCTCAAGCCTTTTAATACATTATCATGCATAGTAAATCTCCAAAAGAAAAATATGTAGTATCTATCCAGTCAACTTTTTGTTTTTATCATATGTTATCTGCTATTATTTTATTTCTTTAATGCAACACCCACTAAATTTGAAATACAGTTGGGAAATGCTGCTGCAATGTTTGTAGTCCATCTGCC